GTGAGACGAAAAAGAGTGTCTAGAAATGGGCCTGAATTCACGAACGAAAAGCATATCGGCGCGGGTCTGTGCTCAAGCAAAGTCGCAAAAAGGCTTCAAAGGGACCTCACTTCGCAATTAAGAGTGACCAGCGGCCACACCCCAGTGCGGCAAAATCATGGTCACGGTGCAGGTCAGGAGTATCGCAATGCTCCAACGTTGACTGCATCCCTGGCGAAACGCCTTCAAAAGGAACGCCTTGGAATCCTTGGAGCTTGATGCCTCTGAGGGGGCGCGGAATGGGCACTACGCGAACGTTTGATGATTGGGACGATTGGAGTCAGCACCTTTTTCTTCTTTCATATGGCAGGCTTGAAGACTTTGCTCACACAAGTCACTTCAGTGCTTATTCAACTCCGGGGAGTCATGTTCCGATGCATCGTCTTCTATGCAACAGCCAAGAAGGCAGGATTTTTGCGAAGTTCTTTGCGGCCCTAGTGGAAGTTCTCCTCAGCATGCTTAATGTTCCTCCTATGACCCACCCCCGACCTTCTCGGCACAGGCAGATCATGGAGGATTTGTGGAGGCCTTCATCCTTGGAGAGGCGAGGTTTCGACCGTCACGCGCGCACTCTGGGCTGCCACTGCAGCTGTCTTCCATGCCCGCTGCAATGGTGGGCCCGCTGTGATAGTGGAAAGTCACGTTGCGATGCATCGTCTACTATGCATCTCTCATGTTCAGATGTTCTGGACCTGCAGGCATTTGGCCTTTTGAACAGGTCGTTTCACAGACTGCACAGATTTCCATCCCGTTCATATTCACGAATTCACCACTTCATTCATTAATGACTTTATGACTTCACGATCATTCCATTCATTTTGACTTCACTGATCATTCATTACTACACTGGTCATTCGACACAGTGCTTTGATTCACGACCTGCTTCTGCTTTTGTATTTTCTCCATAGTACCTTCTGCTCTCGGAGCACCGTCCCGCTCAATTGAGCGGCATGCAACGGTGCTACATCTTCAAGTTCCAACGACCGTGCCCCGACGAGGATGGGGGAATGGATCTACCTGCATCAACAAGTAGGGGATCCTATCGATGAGGACCGCCAAGGACTCCGAAGCTTGTTCCCACCAACTGGGCAGCACAGGTGGGGGCAACAGGAAATCTTGCTCCAGCACGCCCATCAATAGGATTGAGCGGCGGCGAGGATTCTATCGGAGCACCTGCAACATGTTCAGATAAACTTTGATCAAACCTCATGTCCAGTTTCATCAAACTTCATTCAACAACATGACATGAATCATGACATTGATTCATCATATAACCCAAGTTGCCACGTGAGGCAAGTGTTGCTCATGAAACTCGAACTCCACCCGTGGAATCGCGCTCCAATGCAGCAAGCAAAGTTGAGCAGCGTGATTCCCGTCTCGTGAACCTGGTAGGTTCCCACGCTTCCAAACGCCACATGCCCTCGACGAGTAATTCGTCTGAACGAAATCCGCCCAGTTGCTGGAAACAACCTCCGGAGTCCTTCGCCGTCCTCATCGATAGGATCCCCTGCTCGTTGATGCAGGTAGATCCATTCCCCCATCCTCGTCGGGGCATTGTGGTCTTGGAACTTGAAGATGTACTTGGATGTGCGGTGCTGCTTCTAAGTGATTGTTTTGGTTGACGAACTAATAGTTGAAGTTATAACTTCGCTAACCATAGTTATAACCACCGCAAGTCAAGTTGAAACCATCACAAGTTCACCGTACATGGTTGATGAACTTCTTAAGTGTTTGCAAATGGATACCATGTCCAACGTGGAGTTGTTAGAGTTGTTGCTTAGCTTGCAGGTGTGCTTATGTAAGTGTAACATGTTGGATCAGTTGAAGATGCGTTGATGTTAACATCTTGGACAAGTACAACCGCAAGCCCAAAGTAAACACCAATTCAACTACGACAAAGTTTGACTTAAGTTGAGGATGCTAAGTCAAGCAGGTTGTGTTTATACAGGCATAAGGTTGGAGTTAGTAAGTCCAACGGTTGGAGTTAGTAAGTCCAACGGTTGGAGTTAGCAACCCCAGCAAATAAAGACCAACTTGACAATTTTGTCAAGAGTAGAGTTGGCCCAAACTGTTTTTTTAATGGCGCTGACGGGTGATATTTTGAGGAGCTCCTTGTTTTGGGCCGTTATGGTTGTCAGCGGTTTGCGCGCGTGGATCGAACATGAGATGCCAGATTGGGTATAGCAAGGCATTTTGCGTTGAAGCTTGATTGGTCGTTGGCCATATATGGTTATCAGCCGTTCATGTTTTGCAGAGTGCAAGCATCCAGTCCATGTGGTATATTGCTGCGCTGAAGTCTGATGCCTCGCATGAAAAAATGCAAAACCATGAAGGTTGCGCATGAGTTTTGCAAGGCGTGCCAAGTGAAAAAGAGTGAATGTTGATTTACATATATGCGCTACATTTATGTAAAAAGATAAAGTTGAAAACATGCACACACAAAAGAATAACGCATATACATGCCAAGAAACAAGGGAAACAACAAAGAACCAAAGAGTTCTATTGTTTTCAAACAATCAAAACCAAAACGCAAAACAACAAACGAAGCAAACAAACGCAACCTGACTGTTTTTGTGTGTGTTTCGTGTGCGTGTGTGTGTGTGTCTGTGTAGACTGTGCTGTGTTGTCCAATTTGTTTGTTTCACTGGTTGGTGTTGTTGCGCCGTGGTTTTCTTGCGTTTGTCTCGTTGGTTGTTTTTGTTCCCCGCTTGGTTTTCTGTTGTTGTCTCTCCTTCCTATCCGCCCCACCCACCCACCCTGAACGCGCTTACATGCTGCACTTGTACACCTTGCGACTCTGTCGCAGTGGTTGGACTCGAACCCTATAACCTGGCCAGCCCGGGCTATTGAGCCTTGCGCTCATGGGTTTTATTTGCTTCACCCTAGCGACTCCGTCGCAGTGGTTATATAGCTTGGCCTGCCTGGGCTGTTGCGATCGTTGTGGTTGCGTGGCTCCTATTTGTTTCACCCTTGCGACTCCGTCGCAGTGGTTATGCAGCCTGGCCTGGCCAAGCAAAAAGCAATCGTTGCGCTTGCTAGAGTTCTATTTGTTTCACCCTTGCGACTCTGTCGCAGTGGTTATGCAGCCTGGCCTTCCCGGGCATGTTGCAATCGGTTTGCTTGCATGAGTTCTATTTGTTTCACCCTTGCGACTCCGTCGCAGTGGTTGTGCAACCTGGCCTGCCCGGGCAGTTGCACGGGATCTGAGAAGAGTTTGTGTGGGTTCACCATGTTTTGGTCACGTCTTGGCATACGCAGGGTTTTGGAACCTGACGATATTTGCCACGTTGATTGAGACAAAATTGGACATGTGGAGATGTTCGCAGGGTTTGCAATTTGATTGGTTATTGTGCATTTGTCATGGGATATAGTACCATGTGTCATGCACCTCGCAAACTTGTAGGCTTTTCGACGCTTCCGTGTGGATGGAATGAACTGATGACATGCACTGACACTTTGCAGCTTGATCTCTCAAGCAAGGCAGTGACCCCCTGACCATCATGGCACTGCCACCGATCCAAGTCGCCATGGTGGATCTGTTGAGGAGGTTGAGGAGCGCGAACGACGAGGAAAGGAGCACAGTGGCGGCGATGGTGAGGCTACACCTCGTTAAGACGGACGAGAAGGGCGTGCAAACAGATCCGGATGAGCTAGATGAGTTTGAAGAAGGGCTCTCATCGGTGGCTGAGTCTGAGAAGTCTGAGACGGAGCAACGCCTGGATCGCCTTCTGCAATGGCAGAGCGATGAGCGCATGAAGGATTGAGCGAGCTCGAGAAAAAGAAGCTATACCCCGCTGCAGCAGCGGTTAGGTTGGTTGCATGTTGGCTCTGTGTGTTGCCCTGCAGATGTTTGCGGGGTTTGCGAGTTGATTGATTGAACTGTTGTATTCATATGAGCCTACGTGTTCTGCTGTGATAGGTAGGTGTATATATATAGTTTTGCAAGTGAGTGATCTGAGATTGCATGATGTTTGAGATCACATCAGATTCCATGAGACAGGCTTGTGATTTGAGAAGCTGTGTGGTTCCATCTATCTTGTGGGGCGGTCAAGCATCAAGCACGCTATTTTCAGAGTTTGAACTTAATCAGGCTGAAGTTTCGATCACATCCATGAGTGGAATGACAAGTGGCCTTGCGCTGCCTTGTCCTGATAGCATGGCTCGAAATGCGATGACATGACCTTGCAACAACAGTGCAGGCTGACATGGCTATATAGGGGCAATCCACACAGTATATGAATGAATATACATATATATATATATACGGTGCAGGCGGACCATCCACGCACCAGAAATAAGAAGTATATAAACAGTGCAGACTGAGATGATTATAAGGGTAAATGTATGCATACAGACTTGGTTGGCGCACGCAACATATCTTTTACCCACAGGAACATTGACAGGTGCCCTTATATATGTACCATCTATATATACTGTCCCGAGGCTGCCATAGTTTCTGAAGGATTCGTGCTTGGAGACGGCAGGGTTGCCATGACTATCACTACGGAGGTGGCTGAGGCTGTGGAGAAGCACATCAAGAGCATGCAAGATGGACAGCTTCACCACGGGTGTAAGGAGCTCATCAACGTCCTCAAAAAGGCGCCCCCAGAAGTTTTGAACATGAGGTTCGAAAGGTTCGAATGTTCTTTCTGCCATCTGCATGTTTGCAGGCTCATCTTTTAGAGGTTCCCCAAAGGTCTGCGTTCTCCTAGCGTGTTGTGTATACCCTGCAGAATGGCAAGGTTATAGAGAAGTTGCAAAGAGACACATTCTTGCACATGCCCTCATGTATGCGCGCAGTGCGCGTTGAGTTATATATATATACCCTGCGCAAGTTGCAGGGTTATACGCGAAACACTCTCAAAAACATGTGTGCCTTAGACCCTGCAAGTTGCAGCGGTTTCAAGAAAGACAAGTATGGTCACATTTCCTTTCAATCTTTTAGGAGTGTTCTCCGTCAGGCAAACCTTGCATGGGAAGCGCAGCTGCCCGCAAACCAAATTGGAGTGCATCCTGAAAACAGAGACGGGTGTGGCATTCTAGTGTCGCACGTGCAGCGCTTGATCGAGGAGCTGTGTGAGCTGGGATATGACAGCCAGCTGACTCGCAACATCTGCGTTGAGATTCCGCATGACCGGGTGCCCAGTGAGGACTTCAACATCAAGCTCGCAGACGTTGAGCGGAGGGCATACAAACCAGGCGATCAAGGCCATCGCAGCCGGGTGCCAGCATCAGTCGGCTCAGCTGACGATGGATGGCAGCCTGAGCATGGCCAAGATCAAGGAGAAGTGCCCTGAGCTGGCACGGGTGGCAGAGCAAGGACAGATGTGGGTGGTCCTCAGCTCACATGCCATCAGCAGGTTTCCTGCAATCCCACGGCTGGTGCAGTCAGCGGCCAATGCAAGCACTCACTTGGCCGCTGCAGAGAGTGAGCTGCAGCTTGCAAGGAAGGTGCTGAGGGCATACCTGAGCGCAAGCGAGACGAAAGCTAGCGGCGTGACATGGCTGGACATCAGCAGTGAGGTGCTGCGGAGCAAGCCACCTCACATGAAGGTTGCCCCTGCAATGTTCAAGTTCATCATGAACTATGCAGGTGGCAAGAGCGGTCACATGTTGAGCGCCACTGAGGCGTTTGTGAACACTTGTGGTGTGAACAAGAGCCTGGGATTTGAGCTCTGGGATTGCATCTCCCAGGAGAGCAAGGGGAAATCGAAGATCCCGAGGCTGCTGGCAAGGCACGCGGCGCTGAAGCTCGCGTACCTGCAGGAGGATGTGTTGGTCACCTGCGCTGACATAAAGAAGCTCTTGGCAGGAAAGGAGCTGCAGCCTGAGGTGGACAAGATGGAGAGCATCATCCTGCAGATCCACAAGATGGGAAAGGGGCATGAGGGTGCATGCAGTGGAGCCACGTTGGTGATGCTGAGTGCCAGCTCGTGTGGCGGTGCCTCGACAAGAAGCACAGGAGCGTGGAGTGGAAGCACAAGAGCTTGGAGGAGGTGGGTCATGAGTTTGTGGGGCGCCTCTGGACCGCATCACGACTGTGCATTGACAGATCTACATACCTCACCTTTTTCATCGGCAAGCCACCTTGGACGCGCTTGGTGTGCCATGGCAGCTCTTCCGGACTCGCCGGAAGATGACGAGCTGGCGATGTTCCTGCAAAGGAACGTCGCCCAGGTGCAGCCGGATGCGGGTGAGGAGAAGAAGGAGGTGGAAAAGAAGGAGGTGGAAAAAGAAGAAGGAGGTGGAATGGAAGGGTTGGTGGAGAAGGAAAATGTGGAGGAGAAGGGTGAAAATGTGGAGAAAGAAGTGAAGGATGAGGAGGTGGAAGTGAAAGAAGAGATGGAGGAGGATGAGTGGCAGGATTGGCCATGGGTTGATTCGGGTGGCATCGACATCGAGCAGGAGCACTCAAAAGAAGAGGCGGCGGAGGAGAACGATGCCGAGTGGAAGGCGATGGGCCTGTGCAAGCCACCGAAGCCGCCAGAGAAGCCGCAGAAAAGGATGCGTGGCCTTGGAGCAACCAAAAGGCACAACTCCAATCAGCGCCAAAATGAGCGCAACTTGGCCAAACAGCTCATGAACCAGCGGCATGGAGCTTCACGATGGAATGCCTCATGGTGGACTTCATCCTCGAGTTCATGGCGCGGCTGGTCAGATCGCGGCTGGTCAGAGCGTGGCTGGTGGTCGCAAGATCAGGATGGGTGGGGCGGATCGAGTGGGTCAACAACACGGCTCCTAGAGAAAGCCTTGGACAAGATTCCTGATGCCCGGTAGGCCCCCGGCCCGGTAGCTAGCTGCACGTATAAGGCGTTGGTGGCATCATTGCATGAGCAACTGACCGCACACACAATGAACTAGTAACCAACAAACTTGCAATGCAGTCAGCCTCAACTTGCAATGCAACGAACTTCATGCAAACATGTCGACATCAACTTGCGATGCAACAAACTTCATGGAACAGCATGCTCTTTCCAGAGTGCATGATCTTCAGCCACCAATGCCGAATCCAATTGATGTCCTTGTGGAGTTGAACCTGAGTTGAACGGACCTTGGGGTGCACTTTACTTTGCAGTTGGCCGCTCAGGTTCTATGCAGTTGAACCTTGGTTCAATGGACCTTGGTTGAACTTTGCTGTGCAGTTGGCCGCATAGCTGTCGCGGTCAATAGGCCTTCATTGAAGTGCTGTCGTGGTCAACGGACCTTGATTGAAGTGCTGCATGTGGCATCACCTCGCTTCTAAAGACTTCCTCCGATTCACGCTGGACTGGCTTAGTCTGCGTGAACTGTGGTTTCATTGTGAACTGACTAGAAACATGCAATGACCCCTCATGATTGTTAGAGGAAGTCTACTGCGAGGGACTTGTGCCGCAGCTTGACTTAAGCCTCCCCGCCACAGTGCCGCCACAGTGCTGCCAGTTCGCGCGTGCCAGAAACATGCTTTGCAAGCCGTGGGGGGGAGGGTTCAGGGGTTGAGACCTAAGCAATTGTTTGAGACATCTTTTTGGACAATGAGGTCCATGATTCATTGAAGAGTTTGTGAAGTTTTTGGGACGCCGGTGAACAAACGGAGGTTTCAGGCCAGAGGTTGAAACAATGGTAAAATGATGAACAGTCCTTGTGTTTTCATCCTTTCCGGAAACTGAAAATCATTGAAATCATCCAAAAAAACCTGTGAAATCGCGTTTGGTCTGGAAAAAAATTGGCGAGAGTTTAGTTACCTCGGGTCGCTCTGGGTGGGGTAAGAATATAGCAGATTTGTGTTTCCACAATTTTCTAATTGACATTTTGTGTTTCCACAATTTTTTGATTCAGAATTTTGTGGAAACACAATTTTCCATTAGAGGCACATATCAGGAAATTGTGTTTGTACAAAAAATTAAAAATTGTGGAAACACAAAATCCTGATTTTGGTTGATGCATCACCCGTGATTGAAAACAGGTTTCTTTTGTGTCGGAGTCTTGAATTTTTTGGATCTGGCCAGGGCTGCGATGTGAATTGAAACCAAAGTTCACGTTGGACCACAACCTCGGCGCTACATGTTTCCCCTGCAGTTTGCCATTCACGCATGCAGGGTTTTG